ATAAATGTAAAAAAAAAAATCGTTTTGACTGACATTGTAAAGTTCAAGGAGTTTTGAAAGTTACAGCATGTTTTTATAGTACAATGAAATTTTTGAAATATTTCAAATAAAGCAATATTTCTCTGAATATGAAAATCAGAGGAGCACACACAGCTCCTGACGTCTTAAACACGCAGATATTCAGACACATGTTCTCCTGACACCACATGTTAATCATTAGAGCTCGTCCAATGAGCAGGCAGAGATGACAGAGGCTCCGCCTCCTCAAGTTTTCCCGCCGCGCTTTGATATGATAATCAGGAGCGAGAAACGGCGCAGAGAATCCGAGTAGCGGATGCGTTCGAACACATGACACTAATTAGCCGTCGTGTGACCCTGCCCTTCGCTGATTCCCAGTCAATCGTGTTTTTAGAGAGTTGCTCTGCTGATGGACTCCTTTATACGATTATCTACATGTGTCCGGCACACACACACATAATATGATTGTGAACGCTGTGTGTGTGCAGTAGCACATATGAAAGCACTATATAAATGCCTCATTCATAATATGTTCAGAGATTAAAACACACATTCACAAACTAGAATATATACAATAACAAAATATAGCATTTATATTGTACGGGTGAAACTTGAATTACATTTTATATTATAAAATGAAACTAATATATTATATAGACTCATTACATGCAGAGTCAGATATTTCAAGCCTTTATTTGTTATAATTTTGAAGATTATGGAGTACAGATATGAATAACTTTTCACAATATTCTAATATTGAATTTGGGGTTTTCACATCTGTAAGCCATAATCATCAACATTATAAAGGCTTGAAATATCTCACTTTGCATGTAATGAGTCTTTAAAATATATTAGTTTCACCTTTAAATAAATGAACTTTTGTGTATGTGGCTGGACACTTCCGTTCAAAAGTTTGTGGTCAGTAGATTTCTTTGTTTTTAAAGTGATTGGTCATTTAATGTGACACTAGCCCTCGTGCTGAACATCCTTTACCTCATTTGGTGTTTGCAGATCTCTCATTAAGCTACACTCTAAAAAATAAAAAATGCTGGGTCGTTTTAACCCAATTTTGGGTCAAATATGGACAAACTCAAACATTAGTTTAAAAATGTAATTAAAAAAAATGTAACCCAAATGGCTGAGTTTGTCCATATTTGACCAAAATTGGGTTAAAACAACTCAGCATTTTTTAGAATGTACAGTATACTGTCACCAAATATTGGTCCATAAACTCAGATCAATGAGGCCTATGATCAGGCAGGTCCAAGAAGAAATGCTGAAACGTGCGCTAATTGAAGGGCTGCACAATTAATCGAATTTGTAATCGCGATTACAATTATGGATGCCACAATTATGTAATCGTTCAAAGGCACAATTATAAAAAGTCCACATTATTCTGTGTACTTAAAATGTGTTTTTTTTTTACAGCTCATCTTAAGGGTTTTTTCCCCATTGTTTTAATTTTAGTTAGTGTAACATTATAATAATAATTAGCATTAAAAAAACACTAACTAACATTGTTTACTTATAATAATGTTTCCAAAATCGTATCAGTGGTCCATCAAGTCGTAACAGGGTGAAAGGCACTTCTGCCGTCGCCTGACGGGGTCTGTATCACTTTTACTGGCACTATGTAACTTCGGGGTTTGGGTAGGAACCCGACCACAAAAAGAACTACAAAATTCGACTGCTTTACATCACAATAGTCATTATTTCATTTTTCTTCATTTCTGATGTCGTAATACATCATCCTTTCATGAAATCATGTAACATACTCTACTTTGTCTGTGGACATCGTTCATTGGATAAACAGCGAGCGTGCGTGCGACGGTAGGCTAAATTATTTATGACAGCTGCAATGGACAATTTCGTTTCCAACCAGTAGGGCGACCGAAGAGGAAAAGTTACTTGTTGTTACTTTAAACCATAGAAAAGCATTGAATTTTTTTCAGGTGTTTTCAGACGTTTTATTTTGATATAACAATTTGCACGCTGTCACTTCGAACAATGGCATAAATCTGTTCAAAACATCATTCAATGTAAATTGTGATAATCGCAATTGTAATTTCGAGGCAATAATCGACAATTATGATTTTTGTCATAATCGTGCAGCCCTAAAAGAAATATTTGTTGATTACAGCATGATGATGAGAGAATTATAAGCAGTGTTTTGTCGGCTGCTCATTTGACCCAATTTCTGGGTTGCTATATCCTGGGTCATTACGTTTTAATCCTAGTTATTAGATCAAGTTAGCTGATCCCGAGCCTCACGCCTGCACTGTCATCACTCTGAGCCGCATGTGTGTGTATGTGTGTGTGCAGTGTCATCACTCTGAGCTCTCAGACGCGACGCCGCGTGCGAGACAGCGACACTATTGACGGTCTCGCTGTGGGTCCGGCTCTATTGCACCGTCAGGACTGCGACTCGAGCCTCGGCTGGGTCCTCCGGAGGCCGGCTTCTCAGAAGAGTGATTCACAACGAGTAAACACACACACGGATGATGGATCTGCAAACGCGACGCTAGTGTTTAGCCGTTCTTTCAGAAATTGCATCGTCCAGCCAAGACAAGAGAGTTCCAGCATCTATTAACCTTTTCAGTCACTAAAAGCTAAATGAATAATTTCACTCAGATCACACACAACGCCGGACACTCGCTTATAAATAATGCTTTCACATAATGGAAACACTTTACTATAAGGTGCATTAGTTACTGTATCAGCTAACATGAACAATACAATTATACAGCTCTGATGGAGAAATGAACTGGGAACTCGAGGGTTAAAGGTGACGTCTGAGATGTTGTGGATGCTCTGGAGAAAACAACTGTAAACACTGAGTGAGTGAGTGTGTGTGTGTGTGTGTGTGAGCGAGCATCGGGACCGGCTCCACACACTGCAGCTCTGACACACTTCAGCTGTGAGGATCCGATACACACATCAGAGAAACACTAACGACAGATTCTCACACACACTTATGCTTTATAAAGCGATGGACATGAGTCATACGCTCCATCACAACTAAAACAGGTACTCATCATAAACTCGACTCGTCATGAAACTCAATTTAGGCCCACAGTGACACAAGTCCCCACGAGTGTGTGTGCATTCAGGGTTAAGTCCCACCGGGATAGAAAATGTTAATGTACACACTCTCCCTCTCACACACACACACACACACTGGCGATGTGGAGCCCAGCTGATTGATCAAGTGTGTCTGGACTGTTTTGGGTCCAGCCTGAATTTTTAACTTCTTGGACGCCAGACCAGAGCCATTACTGCCACAACTGCACAGTCCAGTGAAACATACACACACACACACACACACACTGCTGAAAGTGTGTACTGACTTGAATAAAAGCCAATTAATGTCCATGCAGCATAGTTAAACCGATCAACATCGTCGAACATGGTCTTTTAAAACCCTATATGTAACCTGTAAATCGGATCAAAACACCTCTAATCCTAGTGCATTATGGGAAATTAGAGCTCAAAATAAGCTTATTTAATGCAAGTACTAACAGTAAATCCCTCATTCCTTGCATTATGAATCAGTGCATTGTCCTTTCTGAAAGCAACACATTGTCGTATCACATGAAGCCGCTGTTAAAGGTAGTTTCATGCACTTTTTTTATTCTAGTTTATTCTAAATGATTTAATAATCTTGAATCAGAATAGACGAATCCGGCGAAACTACCGGAAGTAAGCGGGCGCCATTACTGAGCTGTTGCTGGGTAGCGTTGCGCCATTGCCTTCTATTGTTTTAGTTGCAACTTGCGTCCACTGGAATAAACAGCTCGCGATTTACGACTGTCACTAACGTTACAACGTTAGCCCTTGTATAATGTCGAGTGGGTAAACAGTTTCCGTTATAAATTGTTTTAATGGTGGCAGTAAAATTTCAATTTTAAAGAGAAAACATTGTGAATACCCCGGGTCGACTGCCCCTGTCTGGTGCCGTACGGTTTACAGATTTCCTGGGCGAGTACAAGACGCGGACATTCGCGTATAATAACAATTATTTAATGACATAAGTAAAAAAATATAATAAATGTGTGATATAGTGATCAGCAAAATCTCCTCTCTTGTTATTTTTTCTATTCAATTTACATGCTATGGTCATTAAATGGCTTTCCTGAGCTGAATGTAACGTTATGTGACATAATTGTTCTCCTGCTGTTATATTGACTTCTTTCCATGGTTTAAAAACAGTAGTTGGTCGATATTATGTATACTTTCTAGCTGTAACGTTACCTTACCCATGCCCGTTGCAATGTAAAAATGAGATAAATAATGGACACAAATGAAAAACATGAAATTGTTTATTTGATTTCATTTATTTATTTATTTATTGTTGCCAAATGGACAGATCTTTTTTTAGTTTCCTCGGTAGCAAACGTTAGCCTATCTTGCTTGCCAAGCTATTTTCATAAATAATCTGTAAGATGGTTTGTACCTTCATCTGTGACTGGAGGCCAATGTCTAACATCATCAACCCAACAAGTCATTCTGCCTGGCTGTAGCTGTCATCAAGGGTGCGTTATCACCTTATCTCCGAGGTTTGTTTACATACTGGTGCATATGTCTATGCCGGTGTAACAGCTCAGTAATGGCGTCGCCACAAGATGGCAGCCTACACAAGAACGCTCGTCGGATTCGTCTATAAGTTGCTCTTCTCTGATGTTGTGGGCGGGGCTATAACCTGTCACTCACATTAGATCAGCCAATCCAATGATATACGACACAATAGAGGAGAAAAGACCAGCGCAACTTCCCTTTCATGATGACTATAAGCTTATTGTGTTTGGCACATAATGAGCCTGAAACCCCCTCTAGTGGTTAAACAACGTGATTTCCTATAATTACAAGCTATAAACACACTATGTATTTATGTTAACACACAAAGCACCTTTACAGGAAGCACTGACCATTATATAAACCCAGCAAAGATATCAGACTCTTAATTTGTCATGGCTGTGACGTACCTTTTTGGCTTTGTTCTTCTTCTCATACGTGTCTGATAGCGGTTTCTTCTTGGCTTGTAAGGTGGCTTTCGAGAACAGATCCTCAAATTCTTTGGCGTTTATGATATTGGGCTCTTCCAGCGAACTCCAGAGTGTGTTATTACTGTAAAACACACACACAGCAGTGATCGATCAGCGTTTGAGAACATGAGATAAACGCTCCTAAAATAACACTGATGGAGGAACAGATGTGAAATGTTCCCGTCGTTTAACGTTTATTTCTACTTTCTGAGGTCATTGCTGTGCTGTGATCCCACTCAAACACTGGATATAAAGGCACTGAAATTAATGAGACTGATCTGAAGTACTTTTGAACGATTCTCTCGGACTCCAGAACCTTGGATGAGGATTATTTGGTTTCTGCCGTTGCTGAGGAACACGAGCAACACAAACAGGCCGATGGTGTACGAGGGAGTCTGGTTTCCACTCCTTTATCCCGAGGGAGAAGCTTTACACTGGTGTTCAGGGACTGGTTTAGATCGCACCAATCAGATCGTTACTATTTTGTCTTTTAAACAGGAGATAACGTCAGTAAGAGCGCACGGAGTGCAACAAGGCTCTGTGTTCGGACCACTGCTACTTTCAACATATATGCTGCCACGTGGTATCAAGCCATTTCATAAAACACACAGACATGCAGTGAAAGCCCCAGATGTCATCGCTAAGAAGCGTGTGTGTAATGATGTAATAAAACAGCACTACTGTAACATTTACTGCAGGCGCGTGTGGTGAAGAATCAGCGTATCCTCTTCTAATCCCTCTCACAGGCCCGTAAAGCGGCTCATATAAACACTTGAACACGCAGCGGAAGCTCACGATTTAACATTATTTTCAACTGAATATTAATGATACGGATTAAAACTGATCATTTACATTCATGCATTTGGCAGATGCTTTTAAAGGATTAGTTCACTTTTGAAAAAACTTCAATTTAATTTACTCGCCCCCATGTCATCCAAGATGTCCATGTCTTTCTTTCCTCAGTCGAAAAGAAATTAAGGTTTTTGATGAAAACATTCCAGGATTTTTCTCCATATAATGGACTTCAATGGGGTCCAAACGGTTCAAGGTCCAAAAGACAGTTAATAACAGTTTCAGATGCAGCTTTAAACGACACCAGACGATGAATAAGGGTCTTATCATGCGAAACGATCGCTTATTTCAAAACTTATTCCAAAAATGTAACTTTTCTAAGGACAAATGCTAGCCTTGCTCTATTCTGTGAGGCGCGTTTGTAACGTCCGTAATACGTAATTACGTTCAAAAGGTCACGGGCGACGTAGCCGGAAGTACAGAGTCAGTGTTTACAAGTTGAACGCATAGGTTGAACGTGCAAACTAACTCAAACGCCGTTTACAAAAAAGTAATTAAAAGGAAAAACAACGATGTCGGACGATTTTGATTCTGTACTTCCGGCTACGTCGCCCGTGACCTTTTGAACGTAATTACGTAATACTTGACGTTACAAACGCGCCTGAATATAGCAAGGCTAGCATTTGTCCTTAGAAAAGTTACATTTTTGGAATAAGTTTTGAAATAGCCGATCGTTTCGCATGATAAGACCCTTATTCATCGTCTGGTGTCGTTTAAAGACATTTGAAGCTGCATCTGAAACTGTTATTAACTGTCTTTTGGACCTTGAACTCCTGGAATGTTTTCATCAAAAACCTAAATTTCTTTTCGACTGAGGAAAGAAAGACATGGACATCTTGGATGACACGGGGGTGAGTAAATTATCAGCAAAAGTTTTTTTAAAAGTGAACTAATCCTTTAATCTCACAATTCGGAATTGCTTGATATAAAGTTCAATTGTATTGTTACACGTTTTTGTGAGGTAATGCAGAGTTTCTCAGGGGTAATTGCAGATATTCTGAAAAAATGTTGGAAACCAAATAACATTATTGACTTTATTGACTACTGACTTTTCAAAGTATAGCTGTTCAGTTTCAGAAAGAGAGAAAGACTTGTGTCTGGTGTAGAGGACTTACTTGTTGTCCTGAATCTGAATGCGGTTCCAGTAAAGCGGTTTCATGGGACAGGCCGGTTCCACCGCAGGTTTACGAGGCGCTTTCTCAACCGTCGGTCCGAATCCAGACCAGCCGGGAGCCGGAGGAGGAGGCGGGCCGAAGCCCGGGATTGGTGGAGGAGGAGGCGGGGCTCCAGGGAGACCAGGAGGGGGTGGAGCTGGGGGAGGGGCCCCGGGGAGCGGCGGTGGAGGGGGCGGAGCTTGTGCCCCTGGAAGGGGAGGAGGAGGGGGCGGAGCTTGTGCTCCTGGAAGGGGAGGAGGAGGGGGCGGAGCCTGTGCTCCTGGAAGGGGAGGAGGAGGGGGCGGGGCATGTGCAAACCCAGGTAAGGGGGGTGGAGGAGGAGGACAGGGGGCGGAGCTACCTGGAAGAGGAGGAGGTGGAGGCGGAGCTCCAGGGCTCACACCTAAACTCACACTAATGGAGTCCAGGTTGAGTTTTTTGGGCAGGCTGGAGCTGGAGTTCAGTGGTTTTGCGTCCTCACCCTCGGGGGTTTTGATGAAGGTCTCGCGGTCGGTCTGGACACACACATTACGGAAGCTTTTGGGCGGCAGGTCGTCTTCGGTGGACACACACACCTCCTGAAGCTCGCGGCGCTCCCGCCCGGAGACACACGCCTGTTCCCGCTGGATCCTGTCGATGAGCGACTCTAGACGGGACACGGCCTCCGCGTGTTCGCCTCGGACCTGGAAGAGCCGCAGCTCGAAATCCGCCTGGATTCATACGCACGCAAAAAAATGACAATTATTATTAGTCACGATGGTCAATAAACAGAACATCAGAAAGCAGAAAATAAAATTGACTTTTCAAGCACTACTTTTTTGGTTTCCATGGACTACAATCAGAGATCGCACTTATTAAACAACATCTTTATCATATTTTAAATTCCCAAAAAAGTAAATCAATAAATTGAAATAAACTAATAAATGGTACAAATAAAGTGCAGCACATGCAATGACTGCGGAAACTTTAACCACTGAAAGGACACTATGACAAAGATATCGCTTTCCTTATTTAAACTGGTTCATTCTCACATGAATATAATTGACTTGAATTAAAGCTGTATCATATTTATATGAGCAACATCGCGCTCATAGCCGTGCGAAACGCCTCTATTGAGTGAAAATATAGTTTTATCAATTTATTTCTCACTATATTGTCTTTCAATAATTTAAGTACATCAATAAAAAAGGTTTTCCAGGACTAAATGTAGTAAGTAAGGCCTATTATTTACAAGAAACACTGAATTTACTCAAAAACACCAAATCACACGTGTCATTTGTAATGGTTTGAGTCAGTGGGCACACACTCGTCCCTCGGTCAGAGATGATGGAGGGTTTCCTCGAGCGAACGCGACGGCCGCGACCGCAGCGCTACATCTCGAGCTCAGCTGTGGAACATCAGCGACGCAAACGAGGAGCATCTGGAGCCCAGCAGAACATCCAGGCTTTCCTTCGTTCAACATCGCCGTTTACAGTCAAAGGTCACCACATTAAACAGCAGAAATACAGTAATCTGCCGCAACGGGCACGAGTGGGCTGAGTGAGACGTATACACGGTCAAACCAAACAGGATTCAGACACCAGATATCAGTTTCACTATAGACTATAGTTCATTTATGTAAGTGAGGAGAGCACAATAAATTGATGTATTATACCCAAAAATTGAGTGAATAACAGTAATAGTTTCTAAACTATAGCGAATAAACTGATAATGTGAGAAATGCTGTATGAGTAATGTTGGTTTGACTGCACATCTACACATGCAGTAACTCTCTCGTGCTTCTAAAGCTGTATTTATTTGA